TACATTATTCCCGCTGACACAAAGTTATGGGAGTCTTCCATTGATTTATGATTAAGCTTGAATGTAAACATTCCTATGTAAAGTATCATACGTTTTCCCAGTTTCCTATTAGCAATTATAGATATTTTTCTTTGTTCCAGGATAACTTACATGTCAGTCAAAATGTTGCAACTCACAATTAACTTTTTACTGTAAATAGTGAGAATAGCAGAACTTCAAGTTCTATATGTTAGTTATTGTATATGTATAGTCCTAGCTAACAAGCAGCCACTGAATAAACACATATTGATATTATGGAACTTAATTATAGATTAGCATATTGCTCATTTGGACTCTGGTAGTCACCCAGACATGTATCATCAGTGGTTAACTGCGCCCTCTGCTGGCAACACAGCAAACATCTGCCTATTAAACTTTTATACACCATCTGTCATCTGTGTCTGCCAGTATATATGGCTATTGTCATTAGTAGTTGTAGTATGAGTGACATTTATATAGTGACAAAGAATTCCAATAATGAGCCGTGGACTCTGACCAAACGATCTTACAATCTCTCCCTGCCATCCTCTATAGTGTTTTAACACCTATACTTTACCCCCGCTATTAATATTTAATTAACGTATTACTTACAAATTGCTTGCACAGTATAACTGTATTTATTTTATTACATGTTCAGGTTCTATCTACATGTATTAGTGACAGCACTTTTTGTATAAGTTTATAAATTAATATCAGTCATGTTTGCGCTATCTGTATTGCATCATGTTATATAATTGGCTTTGCTATGACAATGTCACATTACTCCAGGTATGCCTGATTTCTTGACTTGATGACTATTTTTTTTGGTACATTATCTTGTCTCTAAATGCTAGTGGCAGCACATGAAAGAGAATTGTAATAAGGGCAGCTCATGCCATCGTCATCATGCCCATTGTCATTTCACCGCTGTAAAGTTTTCACTATTAGTATTAGTACATTACCTGCATGTTGACCTGCAGTATAAATAGTTCACGTAGTGCACTATTTATACTGCAGGTCAACATGCAGGTAATTTGGTCATTCTGTCCTCTTACCGCATCCCACTCGCTCACTTAGGTGGCACAGTGACACTAACATAACATCACGCTTAGCTCCGTCTGGCTGTTAGGATTCCTTTGTTGGTCTTATGCTGTATTTGTTTTTTTGTGCCACTATGCAGGGATCCCGTGAGTCAAACTCTTCATTTAAAACTAATAAAACTCATATTTAAAAAGTAGTAATTTCTTTACACTAAATCTTACTGGGATTTTGGGCAGCTTTTCTACTACACTACCAAATTGTAGCTATAATAATAACTATAATGCTTACATCCAAGCAACTCCCTTTGTCGGTCCCAAGTTAAAATGTTTACTGGTGCCTTAACTATGCTCCCGTTTGAACTATACATCAATGAATATAGACCTAGTTGGCTACCGTAAAGGGACACTCTAAGCACCAAAATAACTTTAGCTTAATGAAGCAGTTTTGGTGTATAGATCATGGTTTATAGATCTCAGTTTACAGGAAGTGTTTAGGAATGCCGTGCAAGTCACATGCAGGGAGGTGTGACTATGGCTGCGTAAACAAAGTGATTGAACTCATAAGTGGCAGAGAATTGAGCAGTTTTGAGCAGTAAGACTGCATGGGCATGATCTATTCACAAAAAACACTTTATTTTGCTAAAGTTATTTTGTTGACTGCAATGTCCCTTTAATGATGCAGCTTTGGCATATTCTCTGTAAGTAAAAAGTTTAAATCACTTTTGTTTGTTCCTTTAATGATGCAGCTTTGGCGTATTCTCTTTAATTAAAAAGTTTAAATCACTTTTGTTTCTGTTTATTTAGCCCACCCCATACCTCCCCTGGCTGTGACACAGCCTCAATTTTAAAAAATTGCTTCATTTTAAGTCAGATCTCAAAGCACACTGTTTACTTTGGAAGTTATTATCTCTTGCTCTGTTACTTGAACTTTAATAACACACATCAGGCTATTGTAGGCTCTAGCAGGCTATTAGGAAATTCTAAATTAAACATGCATAGCGTGTTTAATTTAGAATTTCTCTTGTTTACAGGATGTGTGTTTGGAGGATACATACGCCAGAGGCAGGGGAGGTGTTACTCTGGCTGCTTAAAAAAAAGTAATTTTCAGAGATTTCACATGCGATATGATCACTACATCCTATCCTTAAGACAGACATTCTAGCCAGTCTGACCCTAACTGGGAAACCAAACTTCAAAAATACATACAACAGTACCCAGTAAGCGTTCAAGAAACATATATGCAGTCACTAGAAAGCACTATGTTTCTATACATTGCTTCTTCTGAACAGGGGTCCCTTAATTTACAGTAATGATGACCTAAAGGCCCCTTTTGCGATACTAGATTTTGACTACAACACTCAATAAGCCATTCCTTTATAATAGACATAACTTCAGCAGCCTCTAGTGACCATATGTTCCTCTGCACATCTTAAAGAAGTTACAGACGAATTTGGCAGCAGATATATCTACGGTATATCTGTGCTGTGGCCACATAATAGAAGAAGGTTATATAGATTAGTTTAAGGTAGAAGAATGCTCAGCATATCGGGGTATCAGAATGGATGGGGAATATTACTTTATATATAATTGTACAATAAATATTACACAAAGTATCAAAAACTAATTTAATGGACATTCACACTCAAAAATATGTGCAAATGCCCATAGTGGCCTGTTTTATGCCTGGTTCAGCTGCAAGAAGTGTATGATTTTAGACTAACTACATACAATATATTGATTAATATATTAAGACCAGCACAAGACTGTATGCCCAAAACAAATATAAAGTAACTTTATGAGATTAAAAGAATGGGGGTTCCACCACAAACACAGCAAGCAACAGCACTGTGGAACAAGTTACATGGTGATGATTTGTGATGAAAGGCTAAGTAGATTTTTTTTTAGCCAGAGAGGACATTCACAGTCTAATCATGTTTATCATGAGCAAAGGATCGTTCGTTAACACATCTTCCAGAATGATTGTATCCATAAGGCTGATGTAATCAACATATGATAGCTAGAAAACAAACAACTGACCAAGGGGCAAACGCAATACAATTTAGAAATAAAAAATATGTGGGCTGGCAAAAATGAACAGATCACGTTTTAGATTCATCTGTACATGTTTCTACGACTATGTCATCAACTTGTTGCTAAGCAACAACACACAGAGGAATTTAAGAACATCACAACAGAGCTGGAAGTAATCAGATGTCACTGGAATCCTTTATCTCTCCAACTACAGTATATTACGTTTATCTCAAAATAAGGATGTAGTATTTTATTAGCTCCAAGTAACCATAGTTGTTGTAATTAGATATTTTATTTAGAATGAGAATTAAGAAGCCTATGTAATACAAATATATTTTTTAAAAGTGTTACTCAAAGCATCATGACTACTGCAGGGTTTTGAAGTGGACATGGTGCCTGGAGTCTTTATGCTTAGCGTTTCGCTATTAAAACACAATACATAATCATACGGCGATGCAGCTCCACCTCAGACAGCATCTTGTGGTGTTATCTGCCAGCCAGGAATGAGAGAATGACAATTCTGTGCAAATGTTCATACACAGTGTACCATTCCTTGGCTAAGAGTGGTTAGCCGACACTCGTGGCCAATGAACGATCTATTTTTCACATTAACACTAACTTCTGTCATTACTAAAATATCCCTATCCTTTCACTCACCTGTCCCTGGCAACACCATCATCATTACTTCCACCTTACTTCCCTCCCCTCTCTATTCATCCCATGCACTCTACACTTACCTTTCCAGCCTATCTCCACCAACTCTTTCCAAATCCTCCACATACATACCCTCCTACAAAACTTTCAAATCCTACTCCCACCTTCACTTCCTTTCTATCCTTCTGCTCCTAGCAGCTGGTGATGTCTCTCCAAACCCCGGTCCCCTCTCAAAAAACTCAGCACATACTAACCCAAGGATCCACACTAATCTCATACCCATCTCTTGTTCCTCTAAATCCCCCTTCAATACTGCCCTCTGGAACGCACGCTCTGTCTGCAATATAACTAAATCCACTGCTGTCCATGACTACTTCATCTCTCATTCAATAGATCTACTAGCCTTAACAGAAACCTGGCTCTCCCCCTCTGACACTGCCACCCCTGCATCTTTGTCCTTCGGTGGTCTCCAACTTACTCACACCCCAAGAAACTCTGAATGTAAAGGTGGTGGTGTTGGGTTTCTCCTCTCCCCTCACTGCTCTTTTAAACCTCTTCCCACCCCCCCCTTCCCTCTCTTTCC